CACTCCAGCAAATCGGGAAAAACTGTTCTGCTCACAGCTCGAGTTTCCTAGTAAATATTAATACACTGAGCACGTGTTTGACATGTGCATATATCTGCTGTGCATAGATGCGTTTATTACTATGATTATATTTAATTTTTCGTGGAACAAGTCTTGATAATTTGTTGGTTTCTTTAAAACTCAAGAAAAAAAGCTAAAAAATGCCCTAAACATATGTGTTTACGTCGGCCCTTTTTCTGTGGCGATAGAAGTTATTTTGAAATGGGGCACTGCAAGGAGGATTCTTAGCATTTAATTTGAAAATGTTAAACAATATGCGGTGCATGAAAAACAAATTGCAATTACATGTCTTACAATCGAAAAGTTGGTACATATGTCTATTTTGTTTAGCAGTTAGATAGAAAAAATAGGCAGTTAAAGGATTTCCTTCAGGCACCTCACATAAATAGCTTGATTGTTTGCAATGACCAACACATCGTATGGAGTAATGTTTGGACATAAAAACGCATCATGTCTCATTATGTTGACTACGTTGTAAGCTCTCGATCATTGAACATACGAAGCTTGATAAAATATATAGAGTTGTTTTTTTTAAATTTAGAAGCAATCACAATGTTTGCAAACAAAGGCCCATTGCATATGCTATGTCTATCATCGCAAAAAAATGAGAGACTACCCCCTCCCCCCTTCCGAAAATCCTATGTTCTTTTTTCAAAATAGTGCCAAAGATTAAAAAAATTGCATTACTAAGTATGTGATGGAACATGTACTAGCCTTATAAGACCATTTGTTGTAAAAATATTTTGTTGCCCTCTCTCCCGATCTACTGCCTAAAAATGGCCCGACTCAATTTTATTTTACATCCAATTACAGGATTTTTTTTTTCTTCCGTCAACAAATATGTTTAAATTTTAAGGAATTTTTTCTCACACCATAAATACGGACCCAATAATTTTCCCTGAGTTGGGAGGTCCACCAAACGTCATTTTAAAGATGGTATAAAATATTTAATTTTGTTGATTTTTTTCTTTACTCTGTAAAATTGTAATTTTGACAGAATGGGCAAATAGAAAAAAAAATTATTCATTAAATCTCCTAACCCACTCTGAATGATTTTATTCCTTTTCAAATGTTGCTCCGCTGTAATGAAAATTGTAAATGTTTATTTGACAGAGTATATAGCGGGGGTGGGGTGATCAAAAGTAAACGATATCTTAGGTATTTGATAGTTATATTATTGTTGAAATATTCAAGTATTTTTCAAAGTGTAAATTGGAGATCTTTGATAGCATATTGCTTAATTAAAAACAAACCCCTTTTCAAATTTGCTTTCACCGGGCAACATAACAAGTATCATATTCAACCATCTGCCTTTCTTCACTAAAACGGTCTATCCAATGATTGATTGAATTATTAGGAAGTCATTTGTCTTAATAAACTATGAACAAATTTTTTTACGTTACTTCAAAGGCAGTTTTAAGATATACCATAATTATTTTAGTCGTTTGTTGAATGAGTTCCACTGAGACAACCATTTTTCGTCACAAGTACCTGCATAATGACTTTATTTTCACATTGTGAGCAAATCTTTATGCGGCATATGCTATTTATAGAACTTGAGTGTGCACCAAATTTGTTTTATAATCTAAATTGTGGTTTTGTAGATATAGAGATAGTTCGAGAACTTTTTGATCACCCCTAGTAGATACTAACACAAGGTTTTTCATATCGATTTTAGGTGTTTAATTTCATTGGTGATAATTAAACTTTTGATAGATATTATAAGTTATCTGTGGCAAACTTACAAACTCTTAATTTTAAACTTTGATGGTGCTCATTTTTCCTTACCTGGAATCAAAAAGTTTATTTCAATACGTGCACTATTTAACAACTGTTCGATAATAATACTAAATAAATTACTTCAAGCCACACTATAACACAATTCCTCTTTGAAAAGTGTTCATATTATTTAAAATATTTTGCAACTGTAATTCTCTTCTACATTTAAAGATTGTTATGTCCCTCCATATTAAGAAGAGGTCTGGAAAACAAAATTCTGTGCTAAAAATAGACCACGTGCTGCTATCAATGAACTACTTTCAGGGTTCTTTACACTCTTTTTGAAGACAACGATACCTTGTTTTGAACTTAAAATTATCATTTAAAAGTGCAAAATTTAGACATTTTCTCAACAAATGGTTGTAGAGAGAACATTAATGCACACTTTGCGTATTTTTTTGGATTTTTTAAGGCTCTGCTGAATTCTGTAGCTGCGCAGTTCTAAGGAGCATATCAAAAGCATTTTTCTGCAAAAGTATATATTATATATGCACAACATGCATTCAGTTATGCATATTTATTGTATCTTTATCATAAGGGTTTAGAATTTGATCAAAATATAATGTACTTTAGCCATTTGAAGAAATGTTTACATTTTGTTCTCACTGCACTAAATATGGCCGTACATCCCCCTTAAAAGTGAGTGAACAATGTATCATTTCATGAGCGTTTAACGGGCCATATGATGCTGTTTGAATAACAATTATAATTGGATATTGTTTACAAATTCATCGAGGAGGATTTTTTCTGAAATTTTCTCCAATATTTATATATCCGAGGGGTTATAGAGAATTTTGCAGACTAGAGCCATAAATCAAAACTAATAAGGTATATAGTAGAGTTTGTACACTTTGAATTAATTGTCAATGTTTTCGTAAGCAATGGAATGACCAAGTGGCGCAACCTCAAAATACGCTATCGCATTTCTACAGTGAATCCAACGGAGATGAATGAAAATCTGCTATCCAATTTTCACAAGTTAAATGTGGTGGGACAAAATTGACAAATTTGCCTCATTTTGTCTATTTTCAGAGATCTTGATCTTTATAAAATAAAATTATTTCAAATTCTCTAAAGGATACACAAAAAAGTCGCCGGAAAGGGGTGATTTTCCCCAAAATTAATAATCTTGAAGTTTAACTTTTAGAAAACTCGCATAAACTTTGAATTGTTTGAACAGCATTGAGAAAGATAAAATGTGACGGTAAAGATGGATTCAATAGCAAGAAAGATTAGAATTGTAGCTTGTGATAGTCCAGATAGTCCAAGATCAAAATAGCCTTTTGCTTATCATGGTAATGAACAAACTTGATCACAAAATCAAAAGAAAGGTGAGACTTAAGAAATTGTCTTGGTTGAACAACAAAAAGTTTCGCGTTATAACGTGAAAGTTACGCATGTATTCGCGAAAGTTTCGTGTTATAACGCGAAATTTTTGCGAATAAACGCGTTGTAATTCGAAAGTTGTACGCGTTTATTCGCGAAAGTTTCGCGTTCTGAAGCGAAAAATTTATTTTTTTTAAAATGAGCCCAATGAGCTTTCGTATGTAGCAGAGGTATATTTTAGTTGGAAATTAAATAAAATATTAAAAATAAAAATTAATTCATATGTCGAACATCAAGAAATGCAAATGAGATTTAGTTGATTCCACCCATTGTGTGATGTGAGCCATCCAACATCTCATCGACAGGTCCAACATCTCAATCCCCAGTCAAACATCGATTTTTTTTAATCCGCTGAGTAATAGATTTAAAATGTAAGGCTTTTTTTAGTATTGATAAATATAGGAACTAATTCTTGGTTTATAAGAAAAAGGAGATATTACATCTCATGAATAAGTTACTAGTATTTAAAGTGGTGTTATTATGCCTTCTTAATTATTTGGTGTTGTTTATATATCAGAAAATCGTGGTAGCTCTCCTTGCACCATATCATACACTACTATCTATGGCACGCCAAATTCACAAAAATGAGATAAACCTAGTTTCACATTTGATAAACTAGGTTTATCGACTGTAAACTATAGTTTAAAAACCGTAAACTATAGTTAACGATTCGTTAAGTATAGTTTTCATCTGTAAAACTATATTTAACGGTTGTTAACTATAGTTTACGAATGATAATCTAAGTTTATCTGTCTGTAAGGGACCAGGCAAAATTTATCACAATGATGGGACCGGTACAAACGGGCATGGGACAATGAGTTTTATCATGGAAGAAAACCATGGGACAAAAACATTTTTAGCTTTAAGTACCCATGGGACACAAACTTTTTTTCAATGACGTACAGTACTTAACCCAAGAGAAATATTCATTTTTTTATTATTTTTTTTAATTTTCGAAAACTAAATCATATCTTTGAAACTGAAGTGAAGGATACAAATGGCAACATAAATATTTAAATGGAAAATATTACAACAGCTGAAAATGAACAAAAAAAAAAAACAAAAAAAAAACATATATTTAAATGTTTGAAATATCTGTAGTCTGAAAGACTCCTTAGTTGTGTTCCAGTTATCTCACTAACACCAAGATGTAACCATGGGACAGAATTTTATAAGTCTAAAGGTATGGGACAGATATTTTTTTAAAATACCAAAGCCATGGGACATATACTTTTTTTAAATGAGGATTTTGTTTTGTACTGGTCCCATCATTGTGATAAATTTTGCCTGGTCCCTAATAAGCGTTAACAATAGATTTTGTTGATAAACATAGATTCACGTTTGTAAACTATAGTTTACAATCGTAAACTATAGATAAGAGTGGTTAATCAGAGCATCAGAAATCGTGAAACTATTTTTATCAGATCGTTAACTAAAGTTAACGGTTTGTAAACTATAGTTTACAAATCATGAAACTGTATTTATCAGATAATCTATGTTTTGCAATCGCAAATGATTGTTTTCAGTGTTAAGTATAGTTTACGGTTGTGAAACATAGATTATCGCGTTAACTATGGTTTACGGATGTAAAATATAGATTAACGTTGTTAACTATAGTTTACAGTCCGTAAACTATAGTTTACAACCGATAAACCTAGTTTATCGACTGTGAAACTATGTTTAGCTCATTTTTGTGAATTTGGCGTGCCATAACTATCTATTATCAATTCTGTACCTCCGTACATAACGTAGGTTAAAAAATGTATAAGTAGGCCATCGACAATAAAAGTCCAATATAGCAATGGTCAGTTATGACGTTATTGTGGTGGGGGCAGGGGTGGAGGGATCGGCTACAGCCTATACCCTCGCTAAGAATGGACAAAGAGTGATGCTTCTGGAACAGGTAGGTCAAAATCTAAGGGCAGGGTTCCTATACAGCAATGATAACAGAACAGATGTAGAGGGATAAAAATGTAAACACAACCATGAGAACTCGATCACAGTCACTGAATGTTTATAGAATAGAAGCAACTAAATATGCAATCATTGCAAAACTCCTTGCAAGCAAACAAATTCAAAGAATTATGGTACCCCACTTTCGGTGTTTTAATGCATGGGAAGCTATTATTTATGGCATATTGTATCAAACATTTATGCCTTTTCATGTCATGCAAAAATTATCATCAAAGTTAAAATATTGTGAAAATATTATCAAAAATGAAGATCAAGGCCAAGGGGTCAAGATTTTTAGCATGCTCGGAAACGTCTCGTCACAGGCAATGCACGTGTCAAATATGAAATCCTTATCTCTCTTTTATAAAAAGTAATAAGGAAAGATAACATTTTTGAAAAGTAAGTCAAACGTCAAGATCAAGGTCAATGGAATATCATACCAGTCTAAAACTTTTTCTATTTTCAAAGTAATATAATTTTTTTTAAAAGTAGGTCAAACTTCAAGGTCAAGGTCACGAGGTAAGAAATTAAAAGTATAATTATTTGTAAAGGTCTTGACTACGGAAGCGTATTAGTGCCACACAATATTTTTTTAAAAGTTGGTAATTCCAACTTTAAAGTTGGAAATTCCAACTTTAATCTTGGTAATTCCAACTTTAAAGTTGGAAATTCCAACTTTAATCTTGGCTTTTCCAACTTTAAAGTTGGTAATTCCAACTTTAATCTTGGCTTTTCCAACTTTAAATTTGGTAATTCCAACTTTAATTTTGGCTTTTCCAATTTTAAAGTTGGAAATTCCAACTTTAATCTTGGCTTTTCCAATTTTAATCTTGGCTTTTCAATCATTTATTCGAACTCTTCTACTCCATTTTCTTAGTATTTTCTTTTGTTTAAAGTATTACAAACTTAATTAAAGTGAAAATAACACACTGAAATAGATTTGTTAGCAATTTATTGCAATCTAGGGGTCGCAATGGGGGGGGGGGGGTGTAAGAAAAGCAGACGGGACTATGGGGAGTTATAATATGGAACATTTATAATGGAAAATAAATACTAGCACATTAAATAATTTGTTGAACTCTTTTTATCTGTGTTTGTTTTATTTTTTTTTACCTTGACCTTCCTTATGACCTTACATAAAAATTCCAACTTTTAATTAGAAATCCTTATATTCCTTTAAGTCTTCCTGTGTAATTATATTGAGAATAACTTCATAAAAATTATGTACACAAAATTATGTACATGCCAGGATTTCAACTTTACCAATTTCAGATTTATTATGTATTGTATGAAAGAATAAGCTATAAAAATGAGACAACAAGACTCGATGTAATCAAATTTTATTTAATCAAATGAAACATTTTCTGCTAAATATACAAAATATATAACTAAATGTATCAATTCTGTACTGGCGCAGATTCAGGATTTTTTTCAAGGTGGGGGGGGGGACTTTAAAGTTGGAGTTACCAAGATTAAAGTTGGAATTTCCAACTTTAAAGTTGGAAAAGCTAAGATTAAAGTTGGAATTACCAACTTTAAAGTTGGAAAAGCCAAGATTAAAGTTGGAATTACCAAGATTAAAGTTGGATTTCCAAGATTAAAGTTGGAATTACCAAGATTAAAATTGGAATTGCCAACTTTAAAGTTGGAAAAGCCAAGATTTAAGTTGGAATTACCAACTTTGAAGTTGGAATTACCAACTTTAAATTTGGAATTACCAAGATTAAAGTTGGAATTTCCAAGATTAAAGTTGGAGTTACCAAGATTAAAGTTGGAATTACCAACTTTAAAGTTGGAAAAGCCAAGATTAAAGTTGGAATTACCAACTTTAAAGTTGGAATTCCCTAGATTTAAGTTTGAATTTCCAAGATTAAAGTTGGAATTACCAACATTTTAAAAAATTTTTGCGTGGCACTAATACACTTCCGTACTTGTCACAAGTAATGCACATGTGAGATATGAAAGTCCTAGCTCTTCTCAGTTAAAAGTATAATGACCAAGGTTACAGTGTTTGAAATTGTGATAGGCAAATAGACTGAAAGACGGACAGACAAATAAGATTAATGCCCCCCCCCCCCCCTCGCTTTCGTGAAAGCGGGAAAAAATAAGAAAGGTATGGGGGAATGAACGACTGTCTTTCACATTTATTTTTAATATCTGACCTTAATACTTTTTATTTTATTGAAAGAACTCATATAAATTTTTGTTCTCCTATTTACATGTAAGAAATAATGCTTATCATTGTTTTGAGCAGCAATCGTGAAGATACTAAAAATAGCTTATAAACAAGACACTAAAAATAGTATATATATAAGACACTAAAAATAGCTTATATATTGAGGCATTTTGTGCCAGAAAATGCTTTTGATGATTTCCAAGGACAAACATGTTCTTGCGTGAAAACATATTAGAAGCTTTATGCTTCACATTTTGAATTAAAACTTACAATCACATCTTGATTAGAGAATTTTAAAACCCTTAAATCAAGAATAACAAATTTAACAAGACGTGTTTGCGAAACACTGACGCTCCCGTATGGCAGCATAGCGAAAGTTAAACTTTCTAAAATGCAAATCAAATATGTTGGTACCCAAAGTAAGGCCTTCTCACTAGAAATAGAATTGTGAAATATGAAAGCCCTAGCACCACATGTTCAAAAGTTATGGCCAAGTTTTTAAAAAGTAGGTCAAACTCTTACGCCAAGGTGAAAGGGTAAAAATTATTTGTATCCTAGGAATGGTCTTGTCACAAGAATAACATATGTGAAGTTTGAAAGCCCTGGCAGTTACCGTTAAAAAATATGGCCAAGGTTAAAGTTTTTTCTAAGTAGGTAAATCTACCAAGTTCAAGGTCAATTATAATGAAAGGTTTTGTCACTCAGAATACATTTGAGATGATGTGCTAGGACAGCACAAACCGGTTAAAAGTCATGGCCAAATTAAAAGTGTAGTATATTTTTTTTATAAAAGTATTTCAATCTTCAAGGTCAAGGTCCAGAGGTCAAATTTGGTGGTACCCAAGGAAAGGCCTTGTCACAAGAAATACACCGACGGAATATAAAAACCATAGCCCAACCCACTTAAAAGTTATGGGAAATGTTAAAGTTTTTGCGGACAAACAAACGAACAGACTTACATACAGACAGACGAATGGACAGGGCAAAAACTATATACCCCGAAACGTCATTTAAGGGGGCATAATTATTTTGTGATATACAGGAGAATTAACCAGTTTTTGAAGTAAATGCTCTGAGATGAAAAAAGCTCTTATACAGCACACATGCTCTTGGCGAAGGACTTCTCCATACGTATAATAATACGATACGACATTTTTATTTTTATCACCTTCTATAAGATAAACCAAAAGTACAAATAGCTATACAGTATAAAATATTTTAGTTTCCACTCCCGCACACACGAGGCAGTTCCCATGGACAAAGCCGCATCACGCGTGTTGCTTACGCCAGTGACGACCATTACGCCGTTATGATGAAAGAAGCTCACATGCTTTGGCGACAACTCGAACAAGAATCCAACTCCAGTATATTCGAGTGAGTATAATAGATACATGTGAGAGACGTGCAATTTTCCCGTTCGAGTAGATTGAGGATTCCTAATCATTGTGCGCTTAGGAATGAAAAGTTAAGTATTAGAAATTTAGACTGTTCAATACCTCTTGCATATGAACAAGCAATTTCAAAGAATTGTGGTCCACCGCTTTCGGTATCTTAGTGGGTGAGATGTCATTTTTTTTTACTGATGACATATTGTGTCAAATATGAACGCCGCACATGTATGTCATTTAAATTATCACCGAAGTTGATTTTTTAAAAAATTTTAAAATAAGGTCAATCGTGAAGGTCAAGGTCATGAGATCAGAAATCAAAGCATGCTCGGAAATATCTTATCACAGGTGATGCACATGTCAAATATATAAGGCCTATCTCTTTTCAATCAAAAGTTATAAGGAACAAGATGTGCTTCTAAAGCACTGCTGACCCCGTATGTTAATAATACGAAGATTAATCTTTTCTTAAATGCAAATTAAATAAATTGGTACCCAAAGTATGGTCTTCTCACAAGAAGAACGATTGTGAAATATGAAAGCTCTAGCACCACCTATTCAAAAGTTATGGCCAAGGATAAGTTTTTGAAACGCAGGTCAAATTTCAAGGTCTAAGGGTTAAAGTTTTGGTTTCTTTAAAAAGGTCTTCTCACAAGTATTACATATGTAAAGTATGAAAGCAATAGCCCTAACCGTTCAAAAGTTATGGCCAAGATTAAATTCCTAAAGGGTACACCAAGGTCAAAATCAAAGGGTCAAAGTTCTTGATATCCAATCAAGAATTGGGTCACAAGGATTAAATATGTGAAGTATGAAAGCCCTAGCCCTAACCCTAGAAAAGTTATGGTCAAGTTTTTTCTAAAAAGTAGGTCAAACTACAAGATCAAAGGGTAAAAGTTCTTGGTATCTAATGAAAGGTCGTCTCACAAGGATTAAATATGTGAAGTTTGAAAGCCCTATCCCTAAACGTTCAAAAGTGATGGCTAAGGTTAAAGTTTTTCTATAAATACGGAAAATCTCCAAGGTCAAGGTCAAAATGTCAAAGTTGTTGGTATAAGGCTGGGCAATAATATCAATATTTCAATATATTGCAATACAATGACAAAAAATATCGTATCGCAATACGATTTTGTAATATCGATACATTGGCAATATGCTTAAATTAAGGAATTTTGTTATTAAATATAAAAATGGACTTATGCAAGTTTGTTATTAAGCCAAACAGTAAGACAGAAGTGTTTTTTGGGAACATGTCAGAGCATAACTTAAATGAAATCAACATTTTTTTTTACGTGTTGGTTACTTATCATAGATATGTACATTCTGCATGTAAATTAGAGTAAATAGAGTAAGAAAATGCCATTTAAATTACATTGAAAATATTGCAATACATACCGCAACACAATTAAAAATATTGCAATATATCGCAAAACGAAATCTCGGGCCAATACCCAGCCCTAGTTGTTGGTATCAAAGTTGTTGGGCTTGTCACAAAGAATACATATGTGAAATATGAAAGACCTAGTATCTACTTGTTCAAAAGTTATGGTCAAAGTAAAAATTTGGAATTTTTGTGTAAAAGTGGGTCAAACTCCAAGGTCAAGGTCTTGTCACAAGGAATACACATGTGAAATATGAAAGTCATACTCCACTAAATCAAAAGTTATGGACAAGGTTAAAGTTTTTTGTGACGAACAGATAGACTGACAGACGGACAGAGGAATGAGATTTAATGTCCCCTCGCTTTCGCGAAAGCGGGGGACAATAAATCCGACACTGACTTGAAAGCAAATAAGATTTTGATTTTTGAATTTTTATCCATTATTACAATCTTCTTGTTTGTAAACATCAATCTTCGCAAATTTTTGTCGTAGCTGCAGATCTGTAGCTCACTGGTGATCGATCAACAGATCTGTCTTTGAGAATAACTTCTTCACTTCAATTTATGGTCACTTAATTCTCAGAAATTGTGGATATCTGTCTGCTGGTACCCCTGACGACCCTTTTATCAAAGATACAGTAACGTCTTTGAGAACGCATGGGGTTGAACATGACGTCATCAGTCACAATGAGCTCCATCGTAAGTATCCAATGATCAACGTTCCTACGGGGGCTATCGGAGTTCTTGACCACAGCGGGGGGATACTGAAGGCGAATAAGGCGCTGTATGCATTCCAGGTGTGTTTGGAGAAAAAAATCTTTGAAACTGATCAATCCATAATTTTCTTCTTCTTTCTCTCTCTCTTTCTTTCTAAAGTATAACAACGCTTGCGATGTCAACTTACAAATTGTACTTTTTACCAAAGTTGTACATAAATACATTGTACATGTAGATCTGTACAACGTTATAAAATTACATGCACTTTTTTTTATCATAAAATATTTGAAAAGGAAAATGAAAAGTATAATTGTAAGAAAACATTTGATTTCTACTCTGATCAGAAAGAAAAGCCAAACTATTTTCATAACCTCTTTGTTAGAAAGGCATAATGTACATGTACTTTGTAAATTTGTACATTAATGTAGATTTTTCAAAAAATTTAAGGATATCTATTTGTTAATCATCCAATGCCCCATTACTTTATTAAAAAAATGTGTAACTTGTTTTCCATTTCGTACCACAGGATGTGTTTAAACGCCTCGGGGGAACAATAAACGACGGAGAACAGGTATTTCAAATAATTCCTGGAGACATTATAACCGTAAAAACCTCCAAATCGACGTACCAGGCTCGTCACGTGATAGTTACGGTCGGCCCATGGGCACACAAGTTTTTGTCATCTCTGGGTCTACGTCTTCCACTGAAGGTAGTATTTTAAATTTATAAACAAGAAATTCAAAATCATATTCTCGCTCATAAATTAATATTTTTAATATTAATAACTGACTTACTATTAAGAAACTAGAAGATCCTCCACTGGAACGGAAGACCTTAAAATAGTTATAGGTATTCCTTATGAAATTGGAACCCTTCCGCTGAGACGGAAGACCTTAAGCTTGAAATAGTGACACTTTTGTGATGTTTGGTAGGTGATACGGATATCTGTGCACTACTGGAAAGAGAAATGGAGAGGTCAATATTCAATGCAAAAGTTCCCAACCTTTATGTATGGAAAAGTATACGCTATGCCATGTTTTGAATATCCTGGACACGTCAAGGTATGAGCTTTGGGAAATATCAAAATGCGATTATGGAAAATTTTAAAATATGGACCAAATTATATTAGATACATTCATCAAATGTGAAACATTTTCCAAATTACATGTAATTTACTTTCAGGCATGTCTTCACGATGGACCGGAGATAGACCCCGATGACACGGACGCAGTGAATACAAATGACGTCACCGAGACAGTCCGGAAGTACGTGTCTGAACACCTTCCGGGACTGGAAACGGCTCCTTCGGTGACCGAAACATGCATATATACGGTAAGTAGGGACAAAAGTCGACATAAATTAATGAGATGCTATTGAAATGAGAAAACATATCAATATCGAAATTTACTGTTGTAAATCTAAATTGATAATTGCAGGTCCAATTTCTCCTGTTTCTTGTCTTAATGTGGCAATTTAACCCTCACCATTGTCACTGAATGCCAAGGATAACGGCAATCCGTATAGCATAAATAGGAAACATTGATTCAAATAAATTTATCATATTTTCAAACTACGGGCGATCTCATTATTTTTTACCTTCTAAACATATTGATCAATCTGTAACAGAAAACATTTCCATGCAAAATGAAAATATTATATAATAATTTTGATTACCATCTCTAACGCAAATAAGATTATCATTAGTACTGTTTAAGGGGTCCACAGAGAAGGTAGCTAGAGTAATCCTACATTCCAGCTTTTGAATAAGTAACGGTTTCCCCCATTACAGTTATAATACTTATTTTCGTCACACTTAGTGAGACAATCAAGATTAGGAAAGAGGGAAATATTTTCTACATTCTAGATAATAAGGGCATTGTTTAGGATTTCTTTACCTTTTCTGTTTTCAAACACTCTACTTTATAGATGACTCCAGACAGACAGTTTATATTAGACAACCATCCCAAGTGGAAAAACATAATCATAGGAGCTGGATTTTCTGGTAATATACATTATCTCTCAATTGTTTCAAAACTTTAAATGCGATGTATGTGTACAAAGTTATTTAAAATAATGATTGATTGAATTTTCGAAACACAGTGACCTTTAAGTAGAGTGCAACACACCTTCAATATGCATTAAATCTAAACGTAAAAGGAAGATGTCTTCCATATTCAATAGTTCACTCGCTATATCCGAGGGCCATTATATTTAGCTGTTCACTTAGTCCGTACCAGTGTATTTTAAGAAAAAAAGCATTATAATTACTTATTCCTTCGCTGCATCCTTTACCTCTTGAGAATGTAAAATGTGGAGTGCAAAAAATAAAAAGTCTATATACAGATAACAAATATACATGTAAAAATAAAACATATTGTAGAATGATTAGGAATGGAAGGCATGCAAGCAATTCACATCTCAAATATTTTAAAAACTGGAAAATGGTGTAAATAAAGGTTTCAACCGTTTCTTTTTAAACAGGTCATGGATTTAAGCTGGCTCCTGTTATTGGTAAAGTACTGACGGAACTTGTCCTCAACAAAGACCCTTCGTACGATTTGTCACGATGTCGGATCCAAAGATTTCTTCTTCCTAAGCACCAGTTATAGGACGAGGACTAAGAATTTACTTGCTGCACAATCTAAATAATTTTATTGAACAAAACCATGCATATAAAAATCAACGTGTACGCCCAGGTCACATGCTACCCACAGTAACAGTGGTGATTTGATAACGCGACCGCTAGTAAAGAAAATTCACAAAAACATAGAATCATCGGATTGAATGAAGATGCTTAGTGTTGGATTTCAAGCGCTTATTCTTCCTTGACGTGCAATTACATGTGTTATTCCCCTTCCACAATAATTTTGCTGATTTATAGTTTACTTTAGAAAACAGTTAAACATGCTAGTGCCCCCTCAATAAAAATGTCTAAGGACCTTTGTTTTTGTTTCTTGGTTGTCAAGGTAATTTTGGTAGATGAAAGGGTCTGACTGTACTCCATCCTCCCTCCCCCAATAAAAAAAACCCACCAAATTGCTTCCACTGACCTGTATTAGAAGACATAATGCAACAAGTAAATTCCAAGAATTGTGGTCCCCCGCTTTCGGTGTCTTTGTGGGTGGGATGTCATTTTCTTATGACATAATGAGTCAAATCTTTTCACAGGTAATGCGCATGTCAAATAGCCTTATCTCTTCTCAATCAAAAGTTATAAGGAAGTGAAATACTATGATCCTGTATGGCAAAATAGCGAAGATTAAAGTTTTCTTAAATGCATATTAATTTATTGGTACCCAAATTACGGCTATCTCACAAGAAATACGATTGATAAATAAGAAAGCCCTAGCACCACCTGTTCAAAAGTTATGGTCAAGGATAAGTGTTTGAAAGGTAGGTGAAACTCCAAGGTCAAGTTGTTGGTTTCTTAAGAAAGGTCTTTCCAAAAGTATTACATAGGTGAAGTATGAAATCTCTTGCCCGAACCGTTCAAAAGTTTTGGCCAAGGTTAAAGTTTTGAAAAAGTAGGTCAAACTCCAAGGTCTCACTAGGATTAAATATGTAAAGTATGAAAGCCCTAGCACTTACCATTCAAAAGTTATGGCCAAGGTTAACGTTTTTTCATAGAAGGGAAATCTCAAAGGTCAAATTGTTGGTATCCAATGAAAGGTCTTGTCACAAAGAATTCATATGTGTAATATTAAAGCCCCTATAGTACCGTTCAAGAATTATGGCCCAAGTCAAAGTTTGGAATTTTTTTGTGTAAAGTGGGTCAACTCCAAGGTCAAGGTCAAAAGGTCAAATCTAATTGAAGTTTTGCCACAAGTATTACATAGGTGAAATATGAAAGCCCTTGCCCGAATTGTTCCAAAGCTATCGCCAAGTTTAAAATTTTTAAAAAGTAGGTCAAACTCCAAGGTCTAGGTCAAAGGGTAGAAGGTTTTTTATATCCAGTGAAAGGTCTTGCAACAAAAACTACATATGTGAAGTATGAAAGCCCTTGCCCGAACTTTTCAAAAGTTATGACCAAGGTTAAAGTTTTTTTCAAATGAAAGGGTGCCAAAGTACATTAGGTCAAGGTCAAAAAGTCAAAAATTTTTGTATCCAATAAAAGGTTCTATCACATGGATTACATTGTTTTAAGGTCAAAAGGTCAAAGTTGTTGCTAAACAATGAAAGGTCTAGTCACAAAGAATACATATGTGAAATATGAAATCCCTAGTTTCTACCGTTTTTTGGTGGTACCCAAAAGGAAGGTCTTGTCACTAGGAATACACATGTGAAATATGAAAGTTATAGCTCCACTAAATCAAAAGTTAAGAGCAAGGTTAATTTCTTTTGACAGACGAACAGACAGACTGACTAACTGACTGACACACTGACGGACGGACAGACAAATGAGATTTGCATGTTGCATGTTTCCCTTAAATTCACACATCAAGAACGAAATGTTTGATGAACCATATATTTTAATATTATACTTTCATGTAAATTACTTGAATCTGATTCGTCGAGAAACATTTGATAAAAAACACTACTACCCGCTGAATAATGGAGCCACGCCCTCCTGCGTGGCAACAGTCAACATTGCTTGACGACGGGTGGTATTACAAAAAATAGCGACTGCGCGGAATTTATGCGCGCACGGTTCACTGTAATATGTATTCACATAAAACATTCAGTATAATATAATAAATATTGCATGTAGTTGAGTGTAACATTGAAAATTTTCACCCCAAGAAAACCATTGTCAACCTTGGCGCATGTAGTTGAGTGTAACATTGAAGATTTCCACCCCAAGAAAACCATTGTCAACCTCGGCTGCGCCTCGGTTGACAATGGTTTTCTTGGGGTGAAAATTTTCAATGTTACACTCAACTACATCCAATATTTATATAATAAATGTTGCATGTAGTTGAGTGTAACATTTAAAATTTTCACCCCAAGAAAACCATTGTCAACCTCGGCTGCGCCTCGGTTGACAATGGTTTTCTTGGGGTGAAAATTTTCAATGTTACACTCACCTACATGCAATATTTATATAATGGAGCATGTTACTAGAATGTCAAAGACCTTGAATTTGCCTTTGCGTCAATATTGATATTTTTTTGGTGAATAACAAACCATATTCAACACCAAAAGAGTCCATAATTGAAGGGTATGTGTAAGTATTTATCATGTTGCCCAATCTATTATAACGGTATTATATCCGTTAATTTTGTGGATATTCGGCAGATACATGTAATATTGTCAAAATCTTATTGTATAGACTTTCAAGTTTGACGATATTATGCTGCATCACGAAAGCACAAAAAAAAACCAAGTCATAAAAATCATTTATAAGATAAAGCACTGGAATGTAAAAACAGCTTAAATACTAAAACAATAATGTGAATAAGTCATATATAAAATTTCTATAGATTAAATGTTGCGTAGAAAAATTTGGATTTATATATAAATATTAGGACAAATAACATACATTTTATATACACGTAACTACCGGTAATATATAGTTATTGAGCAATATCATTTTTTATATAAAAAAAAATTACATGTATGTCATATTTCAAATCAATTAAAAAGTCTAATGTCATTACGAGCCTTCCAGAAAGTCGAATTTTATATCCACTGGCTTCTTAGACGTTTCATCAATACCCTCCACAGTAATCTTAGTTCCCCCAAAGTGGAATTTGGCCCTGACCTTCCTGCTGGTTCCTCCCCTAGTATCAGGCATAGGAACGGTCAAAGAACCGATTTCCGTACACCCCTTTTCGTCAACATATTTTGGATCCCTGTGGCTACACGTGAAGACTCTGAACTTGACAGAAGTTTGGTCTTCATAAATTGGATTGTACGTTTTGTCAGTGCTCTGACCAAAATGGATTGTTTCTCCCTTTTTGACGTGAATATCGAACTTGTCTTTGCAATAAACTTTTCCGTTCATGACCTTTCTCCTTGATTCTGGATGAGTGCCTTCGATGAAGGTTGTGTTGGTGTCAACTCCATAAGTATACTTGACCACTCTGGCGGCAATCATCTTGGGGTCGTGACCAAATATAACGGCCCCTTTCAGTACGGCCAAACCACAATCTGGAGGAATCACCACTTTACAGGATGGGAACGATTCTCTTATCCTTCTTTGTAGAAGATCACACTCAGAAAATCCGCCAACCATAAGAATTACGTCGGTTCCTTGCGCCGTCTCCGATAGCAACATTTCCTCAACTTTAAGGACAATCTTGTTGATAACGTTATTAAAGAATTTTTCATATTTCCTACGTTCAATGAAAATTTTATCCCTTTTCCATGTTACGTCATCGCCCAAACCGTTATCCTTTGTTAAAGTTTCGATATCTCCATCCGATATATTCAATAGAGACTGTGGAACTTGCATGCGCACTTTTTTACCCGTAGACTTTTCTCTCTTTTTACTTTCAAAAAATCGGAACAAATCGATGTAATCTCCTGTAAATTTCATACGGAAAGCCTCAAAGATCGGCTTAGATACAATTTCCTCCAACATTTCTTTGAACTGGGCGTCTACATAAATACCTCCCCAGTCACCACCCTGAGCGCGGTCAATTTCTTTCAGTTTTCCATCGTCTGTTACTTCTTGTATCGCCATATCTATAGTACCACCTGAAATATTAAAAAAAAATAAAATGAACTTGTTTTTCATAAGTTCGCCATTGTTGCTAAAATTTCATCTGGGCATAATGACATTAAATGAAAACATCCACTTATTAGATAAAAGCATTGGTACATCTATACCTCCACCGTCCAAGACAATGAATCGTCTGCCAGGCTGCATTGCACTCAGACAATCTCCGCCTTTTTCTATAGGTAAACATTTACAATACATGGCTGCAGCCTCTGGTTCCAAGCAGATCATCAGGGAAGCTTTTGAAATACCAGCCTAACAAAAACGCTTTACATGTAACTGATCTTTTTTTTAAAGTACGAACTTCAAGAGAAGACATTTTGAAACAAAATGGCAGATATTACCTTTTCAGCTGCTTCTTCCATGAACTGTTTTGCAGGTTCATCCCATATAGCCGGGACGGTTAAGACCCAGGTTATTTCTTTATCCAAGGGCAAAAGGGCCTTCTCCAAATTCTGTTTTTCAAAATTCTTTAAAAAGTGGTCTTTCAGATACCGTATGGAGTGGGTAAAAACTTCTATGGCCAACATCTCTTTGTCTGTCATATCCTTGAGTTTGGTATTTCTGGTTATTCTCTAATTATTAAAATAATGAAAGAATTCTACAGTTATATTTTAATCACAGTGTAAGGTTATACATATATTAATGACAAATTGGAGACTCTGAATTACCAGTTTTCCGTCTTTGTCATACAGCATCATTTTAAATCGACGAAAATAGAAATATTTTCTTTTCTCTTCTTCTTGTAATCTGCTATACGTGTTTTCAGCATCGTACCCAAAGTTGACAAAGTTCTGGTCTTCGTCGAGCAGTAGAGTGGTGGGTGTTTTGTCTGACAGTAGTTCCCCAGCATTCCAGTGAACAGTATATATTTCATTGATGTTCTTCTCATTGTTTTTGAAGAAGTTTCCACGGATGGAAAAGGCATACCCAGAGTAGGTTGTTCCAAAGTCTATGGCCACAACATAAGGTCTACTCCCAGTAGCTGACATCTGTGCAGCAATTTGTTTTTAATTCATTGTCCTTCAAGGAAAAGTTAGGTAAAATAAATGCATTAGCCTTACTACAGTTGCTTTAAGTATTAATATACGTGTACGATCTATTTTATAATTATACATTGTAGATCACTTGACATAATTACTTTGGCAATACCAACATGCAACTGCTGTCATCTTTGCTATCCAAATTTCCTTAATATCTTTGGCAAACGAAGATAAAATATAAATGGATCGGGCATTTTGTTAGCAAAGA